ATGGGCTTAATTTTTTTTTTGCTTGTTTGTTCTTTTTTTTGTGCAAGTTGTTTGGAGGAGGCAAAAGTTGTCACAGGTCTGTCTCATTTTATGTGAAGTATTGCCAAATGTCTAATGTTGTTAATTAATGTAATCTTTATCAGGGAGAGTAGTTTAAGGAGAGGTATGGGGGGGGGGTGGTTGGTGTTTAAAATGAATACTTTTACTCAATCTATTTTTTTGCTGTAGATAGCACATATCCTTATTAGTTATGAAGTTAAAAGTTCTATCAAGGTATGATAAGCACTGGAAGTAATTTCAATTGAGTTAACAAAGGGAATAGAATGAAAATAATTTAAAACTGGTTCACACCAGCAATTCTTCGTGCACTATTAACTGCTAAGATCTAGTCACAAAACATTATTCTGAGGAGAAAAGGTTTAGTGAACCCTAGAAATTGGATTTGATTTATGCCAGAAAATCTGCCTTTTCACTGCTTGAGATTTCTATGGAAGGAAGCCACAGTCTTTTACCAAATGGTTTCTAAGGTAACATCTTATAGCAGAGCATCTGAAACCAATTTGGTTGTTAATGAGAAATAGTTCTCACGGCGGTGGGAAAGTGTGGAGTGAAAGAAAAGGCTTCAAGATTTGGCAATCTGTCTGTAAAGGCATTTAAAATAAATGTGTGCTGCTCTGCTTATGAAATTTCTACGTGGATTACACGTTCATAATTGCCTTTCGAATCTATAGGTCACTTTCCAGAGTTGTCCTTGCCTATAAATTCAATTGAGATCTGCATGATAAAAATATTTGTATACAACAGCTAATTTAAATAGCTGGCACTTTCCAGTGGAAATCTCTACTCCTACAGAAAAAATATTTGCATTTTTTGGGTGATAGTGTATTTTTGCTGCCAAAAATTCATTAGTGAATTGGTGCCATATCAGAGCCGTAACATCCCACTGATGATAGATGCTACTTGCAGATGTTCTGGTTTGTTGTGAGACGCATTCTGAGAAGTTGCTTTTATACCTCCTTTTCTGAAGTTCTGACTAGATAAATGATGGGTCAGTGATCAGAGATGTACAGTCATTTTACAGTAGATGATCTGAATATCCTTTACAGTCAGAGCCTCTTTGGGATGGAGGGAATAGAGTGCCTCTGTCAACAATGGCTCATTGCCATTTCTTCCTTCCTCTCAGGAAGAGAGAAAACCAGCAATTCTGGCTTCCCTTTCCCTGGATACATAATAAACACGTAATGGCTCTCTCCTACCCTTTCGCATTGCAGCAAGGCTGTATTCCTGCATTCTGTTCCTTGGTGCCTGTGTAGAGTTGCCTGAGTAGGATTGCAGAGTTTAAAATCATACTTGCCTGCTTTTCTTCCTTATGTTATTGAATTCTGTGAGCTTATTCTGAGTCACGTGGGAGAAAAACAGTCCCAGAGTGACCCTTTGCTCTAAGTAGTGGATCATATTTAGCAAAAAAAGAAAAGAGAAGCATTACCAAAATAAAGCTTATATATTTATATATAAGTAATATCTGTAGTCCACAAAGCTTTTACAGAGGCAAGAGAAACTGCATGGTGTAATCTCTAGACTTTACATAGGCCGGGTCTGTTAACAGTGCTTCATTAGCATAGTGATATTATTTAGGAACATGAAAATACTGCATCCATACAGCACAGCTGTAATGCCATAAAATGTGTGTAAATGCAGCAAAGACCTCTACCGGGAGTTCTCTGGTGAATCTTCTTACACCAGTTGTACAGTATGCTGTTACAGTATGGAAGTACCTGCCTTGCTGTGGTGCTGGCAGGGTGGTCCTCGCTGCCCTTTGAGGTTTGCAGAAGCAAATTCATGCACGTGCTTCAGCTCCTGTAGCTCACGTTGCTCCGTGTTTGTGCACAACCACCTCTGTCAGCACCTGTTCATTGGAGTTGCAGCAGTGCGTTGGGATTTTTGTGTTGTGGCCTCACAAAATGCAATTTCCTGCAACTTTTATGCAGCTTAGATGGCTTTAAATGGGTGAGTTTTAGATAAACCTGTGTGTGGCTTTAGTTCTGACCCAAACATTGGTTATATAATACAAGTATCGGTGACGTTGTCCTGCCAGTTCTTCTAGAAGCCCATCGTCTCTATAGGTTCTGTTCCTGCAAGGGCAGCTGCTCCATTATGTGTACATTAGATGCCACTCTTGGACTCTGAGTAAAATGCCCAAGTTATTTTGTAAAAGTGATTGTGATTAAGTTTGGATCCCATAACTTGAAATACTCTGCAGTCGCTTTATGAAAATTGTGGGGTGTAATAGCTTCCTAATGAGCTTGACTTTGATTTCACCTGCTGCAGAGGAGGGCCCTGTGCTCTACAGAAGAGAGGCTGCTGTGAATACTTTGTCATGTGCTGCTCTATATGATTTTCAGCGTAACTGACCCTGTTAAGTAAAAGCTGTGCCAAAATATAGCAGTAAGAACACCTGGGTTCTAATGCTGTGGTTATAGAAAGTTAGTGTGACATTATCTGGTTGTCTGAGAGCAGCTTTAGGGATGGTGCTGCGGAACGTAATGGAAAGAAAGGCTCCAGGAGACAAGTTTGTGGAGAAGGTCTTTCTGATCGTTTGGCTTGAACACAACTGTGATTTGTTTGGGTTTTTTAATTTTATTTTAATGTTCATAAAACCACAGAATATATCAAATTATTTTTGCTAATTTACTGCTGCTAAAGGGGAAACTTTTTCTTGCCCCATCCCTTGCCTGAAATGCAGTGGGTTTTCCCCTTTGGCGAGTTATTCGGGTTCATGAATCGTTCCAAAGCTATACGCTTTTTTGGCCGTTTAACAGTCTGAATCAGCTTGTCAGAGGATTGTACGAATACAGAAGTAGGTGAAGGAGGAGGTAAGACAGTAAGCAGGGACAGCAGGTGAGAGTTGTCTGTCCTTGAGCCGTTCCATAGAAGGGCCATGTGGTTTTGCGAATGGATTAGCAATAAACCTTGGAATGTGTTATATGTTACTTGCTCTATGTATTTGCAACATGTTTTATCGTCAAATTTGCTCGTGAGGTAATTAGTGAAATCAAACTGTACTGACACCAAAAAACTTTAATGTATTCATAAGATGCATTCTGTGGACCCAATGTTGATGTAATGTTGAAATAATTGAGATGAAACTAGTAGAACAAGGTATTTCAAGCTTATTATGCTATACAATACCATATATAGACATTGAGTATGTAAACATGATAAAAGGATGTTTGAGCTTTTGCTTTTGAGAGTTCTTTTCTCAAGTGATTACTTGAAGGTAAAAAAAAAAAATCAGCAAAGGAATGGGCATTTTTGTAGGTATTTTGTCAACTGTTTTAATTTAGTAGTGAGTACTGATGTCAGAAGATCATTAATCTCTGGTAGATCTCTAAATATCCTGGCTGTGCTTTCACTAACAGGAACTCTTCCCATGTAAGTGATTCCATTGATTTCAAGTAGCTGAAGTTATTCATGTCACAGAACATTTTTATATATTCAGATAAATAATGCTTTCACATTTGACAAAGAACATGAAGACTCACTCCTCCACAAAGGGAGGGAGAAAGCAGGGAGAGAAAGTAGGTCCTGATTCTGTTTTGAAAAACTGTTGGTGCTTTGGATCTCTTATTTGTAGTTTACAGCTTCCGTGAAGGAGAACAGAAAGTTTAATGAGGCCGAGAGTCAGCTGAGATGGTGCATAAAACTGGGGGGGAAGGGGGTAGCCGTTTGGTTTGTTAGCTGGTTTACATTTTGGTGTTTGGGAGGGGGTGGGGATGTTGTTGATTTTGTCTTGTTGGGGAGGGGGGGTGGCTGCCTGGCTGGTTTTTTTGGTGGGCTTTTTGTGTGTGTTGTTTGTTTTGCCTCTTTTCCTCCTGTAGCAACTGCGTTGTGAACAGGATTCTGCATTCCTAATAATCTTTGGAACTTTTTATGGCTTGCCAGAGCATGTTTCTCATCCCAGTTTTGATAGCAGTGTTCTTCGGGCTATCAAGAAAGCGATGAGTAATCATGACAAAAAGAACAATGTGACTAATTAAGCCTAGTTTTCAATGGATTTGTGTCCTTTGACCTATCCATGTTTCCACTGCAATATCCTTGCACCTCCCAACCACCAAATCTCACAAAATCTGAAGGAATGTAATTATCTCAGACATCTTCAGATCTTTCAAATTAGGGTTAGTTCAGTTAGTGAGAGAACAGTGCTAGTCCCCTAGAAAAACAAGTTAAAATACTACCTAAAAAACCAGGGAGCTTTTCCAGACTTATCTGTATTTTACTTCATTTATTAAAAGGAATTCCTACTTTTTATCAGAGAATTCAGGAATAAAAATGTGTTAATTCAATATTTTTAGAAACAGCAAGGGAATGGAATAGGTGCTAGTTCATATTAGTTTTAAATGTGAGATTGGATTTTGTTGTTAAATATACATGTACAGTGCGAATTACATCTCTGAACAGAAGGTAATCCCAAACATATAAGAATGTTAGTGTGTTCACATAATGTTAAGTCTGGATTTAAAATGTACAAAAATTGAAATTTAAGTCACTCCACTTTCTTTTGTCACCCTTCTGCATCTATGAATTGTAACATATTTAATCACATGAGTAAACACAAGAGAACTGTGATTTCTAAAGTCTAGAAACTTTTAGGTTAGTGGCGCAATTAACTTAGAAACCTTTGTTCATTATTAAGTTGGCTTGCAAAGTGGTAATATTAAATTGTTGTTACCTTTTCTTTTTAGTTATTATTTAGTGCATCAGGACTGTTGTAGTTCATTTTTAGGCATAGAAATTGAGATCATTCCCTCCAGACTGATCTTGATCTCTTTATTTCCTGTGAAACAAGTGTGCTTACCATCACTGAGTGGGGAACAATAACAAAATTATTCTGAATTTTCCTTCTTTCCCACTCTCTCCGTTTAAGTTAAAAGGGTTAATTTAAAAAAAAAAAAAGTTGTTTGTCCTAAATGTTCTTACTGAACTCCATTATGCATGAAAAGAGTCCGAGTCCATTTGCAAGACCTCTAAATGAACTCCATTCATTCTGTGCTTAGAAATGACCATTCAGCCAGAAACAGACACAATAGTTACAACCTCATTTGTTTGGCACCAATACCAGCTTATTAAAAGTGAAGGGATTGTTGTGAAAAAGTATAGTAATTTTTCTATGGTAGTTATATAATTCTTTAATAAAATTCCTTTAGGATCTGAATAATGTAATATTTGTGTATATATTCTTTGCCCATAGTTGCAATATAGCGGCACTGAATTTTCCTAAAATTCTTAAACATTCCTGAAGAGTTTGAAATAGCAGCTATTTTGAAAATGTATGTTGATGTAGCTTGACTTATTTTGATGTAAAACAAGTTATACGGACATCTCTTTCTAGATGACTTGGAAATTAAGCCAGTTGTTAACCATAAATAGTGGCTACGGAGAAAAAAAGTTTTAAAGTTTTGACTTTGAAAACATTGAAAGTTTGTTTACATTTGGGAGGGAAAATACTTATGGTACGCATGTCAAATTGTATAAATACAGTGTTATAATTTCATCACTCTAAAACCTGTGAACATAAATAAAGAATTTAATACTCCACATGTTAAAGGTCATAAAGTGGGGATTATCCTGTTGTGATCAGCAGAATGTCATGATCCTCAGGTGTACATGTCTGATACCAGACCATGTTTTATTTTAAATGGCTTGAAGTGTTGAGCAAGATTATTGGTATCATTGGCTTTCCTGCTAAGATTAGGAATGAACAAAAACGATAAGCCTTTAGGAGAACCTGGCTTACGTACGAGTAGGACTTTTCTAAGTTCTCCTTGTTCTCGCACGCATTGTTACGATGTCCGTGAGAGTCATGCAGACTGCCGTGGGTGCTCTCTCCAGCTCGGTTATGGAAGTCTAAGGTAACTCTGTGTGTTTTCACGTGTTTCCTTTTTCTGTCAGTCTGGGTGGCCGTATGCACTTCTTAATATCCGAATCTGCAGGTAGCGTTTGATCTAGAAGAAATACTGTGTTTGGAGGGAACGAGAAAGTTAACAGCAGATACAAATTTCACTTTACGTTATTCTTCCTTGACCTGATGTCCTTTATGTATTTAGATTCAGCAGTGGCGGAAGGCCCTGTTGCTGTCGGCCCTCACGACTGCACAGGGCCCTTCTGAAGTTAGCGGCGTAGCCATGTCACATGCCGACTGTCGTTGGTGGCATTGGGGCCTTTAAGTACTGATCATCATCTTTGAAGGTGGCTTTGGTAGCTGGCTGGAACTGGCTGAGCATTTCCTCCAACAAACTGCAGAAAATACTGTTTGTGGGAAGTGTGTGAGTGAGGGTGGATGGGTGAGGGGCTCATGGCAGGAAAAACAACTAACAGGAAAGGGTAAGTAGAAACATCATCCCCCTTGCTCTCAACCAGTTCTT